TCTTTTGATAAGTTTTTCTACACTTTACTGTTATTTTATCCAACAAAAAGATGGAATTAGAGATTTAAGAACAGTTAGAAGTACAAGAATGTGAAGTTGCAGACGAAGTGTATGATGAAATTCCTCAACAAAATGTTGGCGTATCAGATGAACAAGATATCGCTGCAGAATCATAGACAAAAGTGCCTGAAAATGTGGAAGAAGTGGTGGAAGAGTTACACAAAATGGAGGAATTGTTGAACGAAACAGAGCAAGAACTTGAACAAGAGCCAAAGGTAGACGAGTATAAATTGATTAAAGATGGGAGGTTGAATCAAATACGTCTTCATTCGAAGCTCTTTTAGATCAAGAAAATACAAAACACTACAAGGAAGATGATTGCACAATTCAACAGGAGGAAGTAGAAGAACATAGCCCACTTTGCAACTCATCTTCATCTACAGAATCAGACAATGAAGAAGAAGACATTTTTCATCTTCATCTTAATCTGCAGAATCAGACAATCTCGACGCTTCTGGTTCTCGTATCGACTTAGGGTAGTCAACGATGGAGAGATGGTGGAAGTGGTGTCAGAGGGGGTAGCATCGGGAGGGATGGGTGTGGGAAGAGGAAGATGAATAGTGATTTGTTTATTATTTTTTTCCTTTGTTATTTAGTTTTTTTTTAATTTTAATTCAAAATTACTATTTTACCCCAATTAAAATTTGTTAAAGTCAATTTATTGGGTCAACTAATGGTCAAATTAACAGAAATCATCCATTTGGACCATCGGTGCTAATTTTTGAAAGATTTGGGACTGTGGTGACACAAAGTGAAGATTAAGGTAAAGTCTGAAAAAAAGTGAAAGGTTTGGGACCGCTGTTGGAATTATCCCTAAAAAAAGTAAAAAGTAAAATAAAAAAAATAAATAAATAAACGAACAAGGGATCTGCCCTGTCCCGTCTCCTTTTAATCGAATATTGAGACACAGCTAGGTAACAAAAATATTCGATGGAACGAAGAACATGAATAGTCGACCCACCCCATTCCCACCTCCGTAGTCATCCCTACCTAACTTACTTTTTATTCATCACAATAATACATTTTCAATTACAAAATAGAAATAAACACTTTCTAGTTAAAATTTCAAAATAAAGTCATTTTTTTTTATCTATTTTCTCCAATATAGATAACGACTATTTCCTTTTTCATCTTCTGTAACTTTAAATCTCAGAAATTTATCAAACGCTCCACAAAAAAAATCTTGTTTATATCGATCACTTCTAATGGCAAGTATATTTACGTATATTTAATTTAATTTTCATTAAATTAGTATATATTTTTAATCATTAAATATTATTTCAACATATGCTAATAAGCAGATAATTTGTTACATTTTATTCTATAGATCTATAATTTAAAAAAAAAAAAATTCATCAACATGTGTTCTTAATTCATACAAATTCATGGGTGTTCGATTTTGGGGAAATTGGAAATAAATGGATTTCAAGTGACCGGTTGAGGATTAAATTACCCCGAATTGCCAGGACCTAGCACCCGCAAGGTACATTTTAGTGTGGCCGCATGGAAGGCTGCCTAAGGCCTCTATTTGAAGGAGTGTTACCCATGCGATTACATGGGTTGATAGCCCATGCGACCGCATGGTTTATCAATAGGAAGATTTTTCACTGCTTCAAAAATTGTTTGTTCTCAGCCTACCATGATTTTCGTAACCTCGTATTTCATGGCAAACATGTTTTAAGGGATATGAGAAGTATATAGAACAGGGATTTTTTTTTCAAAAAAAAAAAACTCTTTTTCTCGAAAAACATGTTTTTTTTTTGGGTCAAAATTGGTTTAAAAATTTTACCTTTTTTCATGCCCAAGGTAAAATACGCTCAACTATCATTCCAAAATTCTTGCACGACTTCCATCAAACTTCGAAAAATGTGTTGAGTGGTGTGGAACCTGAAAGTTGTATAAAACTCAATAATTTTCACCAAAAACAAACTCTTGCATGATTAAATCTCTAAAACTACGTTTTTTTTAATCTCAAAATGCATGATTTTCACCCAAACTCACCTAGGTTTGGTTTTAACACCTCCAAACTCATACAAAACATATTTGAAACTTAAGTGACAAGTCCATGACTCGTACTACCTAAGTGATGGGTGAATGACTACTAACCTACTTCCTAACACACCAAAGAAATAAAAATCTTATTCTAATGCATCAAAACTGAATAATAAAAGGGAAGCGAATTGGGTTGCCTCCCAATAAGCCCTTGTTTATGATCTATAACTCGACTTTGTTACTTAGGCTACTTTGCACTATCAAGTAGCACGATTGTCTTCTCATTGGAGTCATCACCTATCCAGTAAGCTTTCAAGCATTGCCCATTGATAGGCGTAAGATCAAAGGCTAGGTGATAATTACTAAGAGTTTGTTTCATCCATAGAAATTGTGCACAACAACTAGCGGCCGAGATATATTCGGCTTTGGCAGTAGACAATGTAACAGAATTTTGTTTCTTACTAAACTATGATGTAAGTGCACAGCCTAAAAATGACATAAACCGCTAGTGCTTTTACAATCGATTGTGCACCCGGCCCAATCAGACAAGCTCAATCATGATTTATTGGTCGACAAATAATGCATAAATTTTAGGACCTACAGAAGATTTACAGACTTGCTATATCATTAACAACATCTTTTGTGAGAGTCATGAGCTACAAGAAGGCTTGAAAGGTTAAAGAACGTCCATTGGAAACTTGATGGTTCAGCCGAGGAGAGTTATGCTAAATTGACTAGGTATTGTCATAAGATAGGGATAACTAGTCTTGACTCGACATTCTATATTGAGACTAATGGTGAGAATCACTTCAAGTATTTCTCTGTGGCTATTGGACAATGCATTCAGGGATTTTGTAATTCGATGATCCCTCATTCTAGTCGACAATACATCCTTGAAAGCTAGCTACGAAGGCAAGTCGATTATTACTATATATCAAAATGTCAACATCCAAATTTACCCTCTTACATTCGGTATAGTCGATGTCTAGAATGATGTAACGATGCGTTGGTTCTTCACAAAGTTGGAAGAAGTAATTGGAGACAGCGAGAAAGGTATATGTGGAACCACTGGATTAGTTTGCTTCTTCGTAAGACGTGGACGCAATATCGGATACATCTAGATTTAAATGATAACATCTGCACGTATAGACAATTTCAGTTTGAAAATTTTCCATGTGAGCATGCAGTCGCTGAGGTTTTCCACCACACACCTTATGCATTCATTATTACACGTCTGATTTTGGAGAGCAATGTGTGTCGAAACTATATTTTCTCTACCAAATAAAGCTAAGTGGGAACTACATTCTCCCACTTAATAACTTGTTGCCACTCGAAATCAAACTGC